CCCTCGTTCTCTCTCTCTTACTCTTCCCCTCCTCTCTCTATCTCTCGCTTCCGTACGCGCCCTCGTTCTCTCTCCCGCGCACTCTCTCTCTTTTTCTTCCCCTCCTCTCTCTATCTCTCGCTTCCGTACGCTCCCTCGTTCTCTCTCCCGTGCACTCTCTCGTTCTATCTCCTTCCCTTCTCTCTCCAGAATTGTTACCGGGTCTGCGTAGTATTAATGGTAATTATTTGTTTTATTATTAATTATTTTATATTATTTATATTAATTTATAATTAATTATTTTAATTAATTGTAAGAATTAAGACTTACCCTGAACCCTGCGCTTTTGACGTGCACACCTCTCTTCGTTAACGTCGACTTCATCCGCGCGCAGAAGACAATGTCGTAGCCATGGGGAGGAGTGTTCGACATCAAATAGGCTGCAAGCAGGGAGGGGGAAAGAACCACATTTAAATTAAGTCAGTGAACGGGGGAAGGTGTGCGGGGAAGAGGGAGCAATGCGCGAATACTGCTGCTTACTGCAGATTTCAATGGTCGTTCTCCAATGAGGTGCAAACTCATAAAAAATATCTGGCACATACATCCACCAACTAATGCTTCTTCCAAACTCCATACTATACTATCTAGTATATATTTATATACAGACTAAATAGTTATATATATATAGTATACTAAATAAATCGATATATATATATATATATATCAGGGGTAAATAACCTCAAACAAATTTAATAAACTCTTTGAGATTACTCCCCCTTTATGAAGCAAAATTAGAAGGAAACAGAAAGGAAGGAGGAGGGGGAGGAGAAGAAGCAGCAGGAGGAAGCAGAAGGAGACGGGGGGAGGCGTCGTTACCCTTCTCGGCGGCCGACGACGACGACGACGATCCATCGTCGGACAGTGACGGTGAGTGCCGGCCCGTGTTGAACTGCGGCAGCGGCATTCCTAACTGTTCAGCCACCTCAGCTCTGTCCTGATGATGCACGTAGTCAAAGAAACTGCTGCCCGTCAACTCAACCTGCGAGACACACACACATTATATATATATACATATATAGAAGATGCTAGATCAAAGGTTCTTAACCCGTGGTCCATGGGGCATGGACTCTTTTGGGGTCCGTGGATGGGCTTCAGTGGGTCCGTAAATCAGGCACATGCAAACTTTCATGTTTAAGTGCTCATGTGCATTTTTCTGTGGAGGGGTGCGTAACTTTCACCGGATTCCCAAAGGAGTCCATAACTCAAAAAAAGGTTAAGAACCACTGTGCTAGATTATAGATGGTATAGAAAGGGTGGAGTGGATATTAGCTATTTTAATGGGACGGATGGGACAGAATATATATATATAGAATATATATATATAGATGGAATACTGGATGGAATAGATCGGTTAGATAGATCGTATATATATATATACTGCATGTGGGATCATTAACCTTGCAAATTCTACGTCTGATTTCCGTGAACTTGCGCGGTGGTGGGAAGAAGAGAAGGGGGAGGCGGAGAAGAGGCGAAGGAAGAGAGAGGAGAGAATTGGCGAGCTTCACCCATATTTGCGGGAGAACGACGGAATCAGAATCACCGGCCCGGCCCGTCCACCGGAGCGCGTAATATATGACAACGCCAACACACGCCGTCGTTTCTCTCGCTGTTTCCCTATGTAAATATTCCGCTACGACGACGATCGAAAAGTGTCGTGTCCATAAATTTGTTGCATCAGCGTCGTGGCATCAGCGTTATCACGTGCTGGCGATAGCGAAAAAGAAACGGCGCAAAACGGCGAACATTGTTCTCTCGCGGCGTAGATATTTGTCATCAAAAATGTGACAAATAATGCTAGCTGACACACACACACACACGCACGCACGCACGCTCAACGCACGCGCCTACACGCACGCGCGAAGGAACCAACAGCTTCGCTACGGCTCTGTATATATATATATATATATATATATATATATACATACTATATATATATATATATATATAT